CATGAAAAATTCATCCTGATAAATCAAAGTAATATGTAAATATTAAAACTTGCTTGTAAACTATCCCTTTGTTTTGCAGAATAGCGCTGTTATGCTGAAGTCTGAGTCAGACTAGTACTTTCAGAGTTGCAGATTCATGGAAACCATGTATTTGGGCATTTAATGGCAATATTTAGGTAAACATAAGAACAAAGTGGGTGAAGGACTTAATCCTTAGTTTAGGTAGCTTGTTAACAAACCTGGTCTCCAGAAGACCTCCAGAATGCTCTGGAATAGAAGTGGATTCTGTGGACTGAAACAGTGCTCCTGAGCCAAGATCCACCCGGGAACCCCTGGAGGAGGAGGGAAGAGCTGAATTTGGCGCCAGCTCTACACTAGCTGGACATCAGCGGAGCGCTGCTGGCACGGGGAGGGCAGGACATGACAGACCCACCAGGGTGCTCCCGGCAGTTTCATTTCATCCCAAAGGGATCAAGCTTCCATAGCCCAGGCTGCCTGCACAATGTGAGCACCCAGGAGACACAGCGGATTCACGTCAAAAAAGCACTCTCCATCTGAACAGAATGCAGACAAAGCAAAGGCTGCTCCCGCACTGTTATTTCAGGATAATTTGCAGTATTTCTGCAAGACCACAGAACGTGGTCATCTTTGTGAGTGTAGTAACTGCAGCCTCCTGGCGAGATGCAGTCAGAGGAAAAAGGTAGGGTCAACCCTTTCAAGGACAGAGAGGATGCATTTCTGGAAAACTTTCTACTAGGGCCTTGCATACCCTCTTGTAAACATAAAATCAATCCCTATTTTTGCAAAAAGGAAGAAGAAAGGAAAAAAAAAAGATCGTTTAGTTGTCTCAATTCTCTGTCTTTACTATTTCTCTGTGCAGTATAAGTTACATCATACAAAAACCAGCTAGAGTAGGAAGAGCCATGCTACTTTGCTCCGTTCCAAACATTCTTCAGGGCATAAAGCTCACGTTTGCTTCATTGGAGCAGGAATATTAGCAGATGCCTGTTCCAGGTAAGCTAAGGGGCCCTGAGGCATTTCTGCAGGTTTCTTGTGCTGTACACTGATATCCTCCAGGACCTGCTGCCAGTGTCGCAGTTTAGCCAAGTGCTTCTGAATTAATGCTTCTTTTCTCTGCAATTCATTTCTTAGCTCAGACACATCCTATGGATGAAAAAAAGTATATAATTAGTAAATAGGCAGCACTCTCAAAAAACACAGAAAAGCCTTATAGTTTTTTTAGGTTAAGTTCTCAAACTAATCTGATGGGGATTCTACCAGTGAAAAAGCATTTAGTAAAACAGAGAGAAGCACTACATGTGCACTAGTTCTGCTCCTGCAGGTCACATATTTCAGGGAAATCCTATTTCTGGTAAAATCGGTCAAACTACTTTGTTTCTTCAGGTTGCTGGTGAGACCTGTGTTCACAGCCTGAGTTCTACCAACTTAAGATACAGCATCACACTAAGTAATCCAAAATTAATGTAAATGAGGGGGTCTAACTGTCTTGGCACAGCAGCTTATCTAATACAGTGCAGACACATTAATTTAAACTTACCTCTTTAATTACTTGCTCCGGTTTCTGGACAGAGAGCTGCAGTCTTTTTTGTAGGAAAAAACATTCTGTTTGTCTTGCAACATCCAGAAATTTCTGGATACACTGATCAACACCTAAGCACACAGCAGTGAAATTGAAAGAACAAATTCCAAAAAAAAAGAAAAAAAAAGGAATTATTGGTTGTTTTAAGTAGTTTTGGGCATGATATTAAAAATACCTTTTTTCTAGAAAGAAAAATCTTAAGGCTTACTAAAACATACTTTAACAGTATATGTTTATTAAAAAAATAATGCATACTCAGTCCCTGTATAAAACATTGCTCTGCAGCCTTTCTGAACATCTTTTAAAGGTGCAAGAAAGCATTCTTTTTTTCCCTGTACAAGTTCTCTTACATCTTCTACAATGGTTAGGACCAAAACAGTCATGTGTGGAACTTGGCTAAATCAAGAAAGCAAAATTCACCACTTGCCTGAGCAACACGCTTATTGCACGGGTCTCAATTGCAGATACATTTAGAAGAAGATTCTCCTTTTAGAGATTATGTGTTCCTGCTTTAATAAGTAACCAAACATACATATGTAACCATACATATATATGCGTATATATTACAAAAGGGCCCCATTCCAGCCCATATGCACACAGTACAAAAACCAGAGCAGCTTTCACGCACATTTACACTGGTTTCGAGAGCAAACGTAGCAGTCCGGCCAGGGAAGTTTTCCAGGAAAGCGGCACCCCTCCCGGAAGGGGTTTTCCGCGTTTTCCCGTCCCCGGCGCCGCCCGCCCG